ATTTTGAACCCAAATTGCAGACTTCCACGTATCTTGGAGAGAAGAATCGCGTTCTGGAAGGAACCGCCATGCTGCCTTCAAAAACACAATTGCCCGAGGTTGATGAACATGTCTTGGGAACCGCATGGCTTGACATGCTTGACGGCGAGGAACAAAGGGAGAAGCCCATGGATTTAGCGAGCCGTACTTCTTATTCTCAATTTGAGGATTCAAAAACAGGGGCTGCGAGGGAAATGAAGCATGTTGGCGAAAAGGAGAACGAGAAGGAGGAGGATGAGGGGGAGGACGATTTGGCAGCTCGAGAAAATGAAAGGCTTATGAACACATACGACTCGGAGCATGCGGTTGTACCCGTGGGAGCCTTGATGGCGAAGGCGTCATCATTAGGATCCGTGTTTGAGCAGTTTGATGTTGTCGGACCGGATGCTGAAGTGGAGCGTGCCATGGCGTCACCAGCGCCGTACGAAACACCCGGTCAATCGAGTCTTAGGCCTCGCAGAAGAACTCTGTTGGAAATGGAGGCAAGAAGAAATCTTGGCGCATCTAATAGGCAGCGATTTCGTCTTGCAAGGCGATTAAGTAACATCTCGGGGGGACGCGTTCCGTTTAACTTCCGCTACAGGGTACTTGAGGTGAATATGGCGGACCCGAAAAATAAATCCTTCGTGGACGCCTACAAGAAAGGCGTGGCGAAAAAACGAGAGAGTTTCAAGCGGAAGTTTAAGAAATCCTATCTGGTTGGCGGTATTTCGCCGTAATTGAGTATGTGCAGGGCAAAAAAAATAACAACAACAACATTGAAGACGGGGGTTTTCAGAGTTTCTATTTACTCTTTTTGTCTTTCTTGCATTACTTGCTATTCTCTTTACGGTTGCATTGCAAATGGTTGGGAAATTTTTTTTTTGAAATTCATACATGATTCATTTGCTTTGGTTCGTCCAGTTTTGGCCACCCGCTCTCATGTTCGAGCCTTACATACATGTAATTATTTAATGTGCGTGCTTATTCCTATCGTTTGCCATATTTACTGCACGTCTTTTCTTGTTATTTCCTATCTGGTTTTACGGTGACCTCCATTTATTTCTGTGAATGAAGGATGCGGGTTGTTTTCTCATTTGTTACTGCATTTAATTGACGCCACTGTCAGAAATGGAGGTGTCCTGCAGCATTGCTGACAAGCCACAGACATTTGACTACTTCACAGAGCGTTACTACCACCAATATGTAGTGAGAAACTGCAAAGGGGTAGAAGATAATAATTGTAGGCTGTTGGTGCACAGCAATGGGTTGTGTGTATTATGCCTGGACGGGTCACATGCTGCTATTCAGTCGCATCGTAAGGGTTTGTGTACAGACGAGGAATTAGATGCATC